TCGTATGGGAGCTCATCACCTTCTATGCGCCTTTCATGACCTGGAAGATCTTAGTAACTTCTAGCCTTGGCTATAGAAATTTCAATTTCCATCTCTCTGTTCTATTACTTACAAAACATACAAAACTGTAAAATTGCATCAGTTACAGCATAGATCCCTGAAGAGTTCCATCAACTATGAGAGAAGAAAAAGAGAAACTTAAATTTTAGATAACCTGTAATCTACAAAAGGAACCTTCAAAAATCCTAGAGAAAAGCATAGAAGTTGGAATATGCTTTGGTTATTTATATTCCAAGGAGATGAGAAGCTTGGCTTTTGGTGACGAAATCTATAGCTTGGCCTGAAGAGCACCGTGTGGGCCAGCCTGCATCCATGTTTTTGTTAGCATCAGAGAACAGTTTCAGTGAGGGGGTGTTTAAGAATAAAGGCTCAGTCTTTAGGAAAGCTCTAATGATTCTGATTCCTAAACAATGGCATCCTAAATTTAATGCAACTTCAGATTAGCAAAGAGAAGTGGTAAAGTACATATACACATAACATTTTACAAGGTATACACATACCACACAAAAGTTTTTAAGCATTTGCAATAAATATTTGCATAAAGGCAATAGATTTGCATTGACGTTACCAGGGAGTAAAGAGTAAACAAACATTGTGATTTCTTTTCATGCAGCCAGTTTCAGGCTGATTTTGAAGCTCAGTTAAAATATGGTTGAATAAAAATATTTTTAAATAATGCTACCAACAAGGGATTCACTTCCAAAATATACAAACAGCTCATACAGCTTAATATCCAAAAGTCAAAGAACTCAATCAAAAAGTAGACATTTCTCCTAAGAAGACATATAGATGACCAAAGGCACATGAAAAGATACTCAGTATCGCTAATTCTTAGAGAAATGCAAATTAAAGCTACAAAAACACACTAGTCAGATGGCCATCATTAAAAAAATCTACAAATAATAAATGCTGGAGACAATGTGGATAAAAAGGAACCCTCCCAGTTTGTAGGAATGTAAATTGGTGCAGCCACTATGGAGGTTTCTTTTCTTTTTTTTTTTTAATTTTTTTTATTTACCATATGATCCTGCAATCCCACTCCTGGGCATATTTGTGGAGAAAACAGTAATTTAAAAAGATACATGCACCCTTTGTTCGTAACAGCAAGATTTAAAATAGCCAATACATGGAAGCAACCTAAATGTCCATCAGCAGATGAATAAATAAATAAAATGTGTCATATATATATATATGTATATGAATATTACTTAGCTATAAAAAGAATGAGATAATGCCATATGTAGCAACATGGATGAACCTAGAGATTATCATATTAAATGAAGTAAGAGAAAGACAAATATCATAATATAATATTTTTTATATGTGGAATCTATAAAATGATACAGATGGACTTATTTACAAAACACAAATAAACTCACAGACATAGAAAACAAACTTGGAGTTGCCAAAGGGGATGCCAGGAGCAGGGAAGGGATAAGTTAGGAGGTTTTGATTAATATATTCATACTACTAATAAAATAGGTAAGCAACGAAGGACCTATTGTATAGTACTGGAAACTATTCTCAATACCTATAAAGGAAAAGAATCTGAAAAAGAATATATATAGAACTGAATCACTTTGCTGTATATGTGAAACTAACCTAGCATTGTAAATTAACTATTATTGTTGTTGTTTAATTGCTAATTTGTGTCTGACTCTTTGTGACCCCATGGACTGCAGCCCACCAGGCTCCTCTGTCCATGGGATTTCTCAGGCAAGAATACTGGAGTGGCTTGCCAGTTCCTTCTCCAGAGGATCTTCCTGACCCAGGGATCGAACCCACATCTCCTGTATTGCAGGCGGATTCTTTACCACTGAGCCACCAGGGAAGCCCAAATTAACTACACTTCAATTAAAAAAACAAGCAAAACAAAAACATAAAAATAGGGTCATAATAAGCAAAAATTATGGTTGACTGTATTAGTTTTCATCAGTTTTTGATACCAAATTGAAAAAGAAATAAGAAAATAGGTACTCATAATGTTTCTGTAAGTGTATAAGGTGGTACAACTACAACAGAAGGCAATATGATGATGTCTCTCAAAATTACAAATCCATACAACTTATGACCCAGAAGTTCTACTTCTAAAATATATATCCTGTAGATACACTTACACATGTACACAATGACACAAGTACCAGATTATTCACAGAAGCATTATTTTTACCAGTTAAGATTAGAAATAACCTGAATGTCCATTACCAAGAAACTGGCTAAATAAATTATGGTACATTCAGACATGAGAACACTGCATATGCTGAAAGAAGAATGAGACCTCTTTTATGTATTGACATGGAATGATGTTCAAGACTATTGTTAGTTTAAAAATACCAAGGTTTAAAGACTGTTTACAGTGGGCTACCCATTTGTTTTAAAAAGTGAGAAGAAAGTGCATTGATATATAGATTAGATTGAACCATATTAAATTGCCATTATTAAGCTGTTTTGACGGAAAAAATAATGACCAATTCCATTTGGTTCCATCTAATACTTGCTTGAAGTTCCATAAAATTTCTTTGGGAACGTGCACTGTAAATTGACAGTTATTCATTGTCTCCAATGGGAGGCAGAGCTGAGTTAACTGGGGAGCAAGGAGGAGATTTTGAATGCTATGGATATTAAATCATGGGAATGTACTACCTTTTTAAAAAATAATTTACTAAAATTATATATAAGTAAAATAGATAAATGTGGCTGAGTAATATGATTTTCTCATCTTGCTCTAAATGAAATTGAGATATACCATGTTCCTACCCTGAGGCAACCAAACATTTTGGTTTAGTTTCCTTTATCCTTCCACTTTGCCAGGAAATTCTGGGCATTATCTTAAGATATCTTATCTGAAGAAACCGGAACCTCTAGTGTTTCTGGAAAAAAAAAAAGAGAGAGACAATATTTATATCACTAATCCTGCCCATGGAGGCTGTTTCTGAGTATTTCTTCCTGATGACTTCAGCTTCTGAGTCTACTTTAATGACTCAAGTACATTAACAAATGGAAAATGAAGAAGCATGAAAATGTTAAACCAGATATGAGTATTAAACACATTAAAGGGAAAATGACTGTCTCTATTTCTATTCTGTAGATTATTAGTTGCAGTGGACACAGTGAAAAGCATTTCTTCAACTACTTAGATGGTAACTCAAGAGGTGGAAATGTCAAAAAAGAGGTTAAACTCAGATTCGCCTTTTAAGAGAATTTGTCAAGTGACTTAAAATTTTATGAATTTATTTTATTTTTTTTCTTTTATTTATTTTTTTTTCCATTTATTTTTATTAGTTGGAGGCTAATTACTTTACAACATTGCAGTGGTTTTTGTCATACATTGAAATGAATTAGCCATGGATTTACAAAATTTCATGAATTTAAATGCCCAAGCTAGGGACCAGTTCTGTACTTTTTAAACAAAGCAACTTTTCTTCAGCCTGTCCCTAGAACATCATGGGTGTTATACTCTTAGCCTGTTGCTAAGTGTAAGGAGTTTTCAAGGAGAAGACAACCTGTACTACTGAACACTAACACATTTTAATTATTTTCTGTTCGTTGAAGATTACACAGAGAAGCAATCCAGAAATTTTCTTGAGAAAATGAATCTAAACAGAAAAGGACCTTTTTACATGTCCAAATTTATACAAATTAATTTTTCTATGTGCAAAAATTACCAACTTAAGAATTAACATATACTATTATTAAAGTCATACATGAGTGATGGTCTGAAGAGGCACATATTTAAGGGTTGTCTGCAATAAGCAAACATCTGGTAAAGTTTCTCTTTCTTGAAATATAGGTACCAAAAATCTATAAGTGACCTAAGGTTTTGCTGCAGCCCTGGGAGGTCACTTATTCACTGGACAAATACATATGAAGTGCCTACAGCCATGTGTAGAACATGGTCACTTGTGTCATAAGAGTGATTAAAAAAACCCAAAATCTAACAACACATACGCACGAGGTTTGTTTTGTGTTACGTGTAACCTTTTCACATTCTTTGAAAATTGTTAACCTGATTATTAACTGTTACGTGTAATTTCAGCTAGCCAGAGTATTAAGCTTACAAGCCTTTCCCAGATTATTCTATGTATCTGTACCCCCATGTCTCGTCCCCCGTCCTGCTTGTGTAGGTCTCCTGAGACATCCTCTGCTCTTTCAGAACTCTGTGCCCAGCTTCTTTTAATGAGAAGTGATCACTTTTGAAATGAGTCTAAGGTCAAAATGGACTTTGCTTCCCTCACGACAGCAGGATTAGAGTCCGTTTTCCTCTACTGTGGGGTGAAGTGACCTGAGAAAACACAATAGCCTATTAAAATTCTTTTTACTTGTTTTGTGCTATTAAAGTTCGCAAAGTACTTCCATGGCTACCACAGTAGTTCATTCTCATCATAAGCCTATGTGGTAAATGTGCAAATACCATTTTCCTCATTTAAGCATGAGGCATCAAGACTCCAAGAGGTCTTCATTCCTGCCCAAGTGGTGTGACTGAGGTTAGAAGCCAGGCCCTGGAATCAAGGCACAAAAGGGTGAACATGTGAGGAGTGGGCCACACGCAGCAATCTTATACCAAGTTAGAATGGTCATGATGCGCTTGTCGCGGAAGGCTCGTCTAGAAGTCTGTAAAGATGAATGACTACAGCTGTGTTCAGATGGACTTCCCTGTATGAATGGTACCAGATATCTACGTATTTTGTAGGGCAGTGGATTTGAAGTTGTGCCTGTAGTTTGTTCTGCCCCATACACTAAAGAATTCAGTATTCTTGAAGGAGCTACTGGAGCTTTCTTTGGCATTTAATGATGGTTTCACAATATGATTAGTTTATACCTCATATCTAAAGAGAGCTCAGCCTGTACATCCTGGGCAACTGTGTAGCCCCTGCTTCTTTGAACTGATGTATATTGCTTTGTGTCTGAACATTAATCCAGGCCTTTTCTTTTATTTCTAGACCACTGCTTATGAAAAGACTCCTGTGCCCAGCAAGAAGGAAAATATAGACGACTTTGACACGAGTTTTACAAGTTCTGTAGGTAGCAGACTCCCTCCAGTTGAGCTCAAGGGAGAAGCAGGGAAAGCACCTGTGACTTCAAGCCAAGGAGCAGCATCCAAAGGCACTGCTAAAGCCGTTGCCCTGCCTAGACCCAGGAAGAAGCCCTAACCGCGCTGGACAGTGCAGAAACAGAGCTGCCCTTCCTAGTGCTAAGAATGAAGGGGTAGGAGGGGAAAAGGACAGTACTGTGCTGAGCTTCTAGCCTTTTAGCTGCACTGAGCCCTGCCACGTGTTTGTACCAGTTTAGCATTGAAGCTCCTCACCTCCAAAGAAGCGTGGTATTGAAGGACAGACACCAACAGGCTTGATGGCAGGTGTGGCTGAAATCAACTCAAGGTGTTTTCAAGAGTTGTTTAGAGGAGGGGATGCCCTCAAAGCAAAGCTGTGGGCACACTTGCCCAGTTTTACTTAAGATTCTTACATTTAGGCACAATTATTTTTAGGGGAAACTGAGAGCCAGATATGGTAGCAGAGGCTCCAAATGATTATGTGCACTTTGCACTAGGAGATTTGTTAGGAAATTACTAATAAACTTGCCATAGGCATAACAGCAGAAGTGCTTCAGCCATTCACGTGTGTTCTTGTGATTTTAGATTGATGTAGATTGTTTAAGACAGCTTATTTTAAATGTAGAAAAATAGATTTTGTAACTATTTGCCATTAACTTGCTGCTAAATTCCCAGTGTATTGATTTAATCAATAAAAAACCAGATGTTACCCATGCACATTAATTTTTATATGAATAAGAGGTACTATAACCAGGTCCTCTAGGCCCTGAAAAGCATATTTTGAGCTTGATCTGCTGCTGCAAAGATAGGCACACATCTTTGGGGACGGTCATGAGGCAGGACATAGGGGAAGGTACATGGTTTCTTTTAGTATTAAAGGTCTCTCCTTTATGTGTGCTCCGTCATTCAATCATATCCAACTCTTTGCGACCCTCTGGAGCATAGCCTGCCAGGCTCCTCTGTCCATGGGATTCTCCAGGCAAGAATACTGGAGTGGGTTGCCATGCCCTCCTCCAGGGGATCTTCCCACCCCAAGGATCAAATCCATGTCTCCTCTGTCTCCTGCATTGCAGGCAGATCCTTTGCACCTGGATAAATAGTTTTGCTATTCTAGGTCACACTGGGTGAATAGATGCTTCCCTTGGCCTCATGGACAAACTCTCAGGAAGTAATTTATACCTGCTTTTCCCGTTATAAAGTAGTAATCTACACGTCACTCCAAGCCCTTGTGGGATTGTCCTCTGGGCCTCCAAAATGCCCCACACCTGGCCAGCTGAGCAGATACTAATTGCATAGAAATTCCCCCAGTGACTGAAGGTAGTAGATGTGCTTCTTGCAATTAATTGGCAGACCCAGCTGGGCCTCCAAATGAGTCAAAGATAACACTGATATGTGTCACTCCTGGCTAAGTAGTTCAGCCAGTGTTTTCTCCGTGCATTCAATATGCTTCCCCCGAGGGAATCTGCCAGCCAAAACATGGCTGGTATACATGGTCTACACTTTATTTTAAAACTGGCATTGGAGACTTCCCTGGTGGCCCAGTGGTCAAGAATCTGCCTTCTAAGGCAGGGGACAGATTCAGTCCTGGCTCAGGAAGATCCCACGTGCCGCGGGGCAACAAAGCTTGAGTGTTACAACTACCGACCCCATGCGCGCTAGAGCCCAAGACCTCGCTTGTGGGCCTATGCACAACAACTGCTGAACCCCCCAAGCCCTAGAGCCTGTGCTCCTCAGCAAAAGAAGCCCACTCAGCACAACAAAGAGTAGCCCCCTCTCGCCACGACTAGAGAGAGCCTGCGCACAGCAGCAAAGACCCAGCACAGCCAAAGAGTAGGTAAATAAATAATAATTTTTTAAAAATTAAAAAACCTGAAGTTGAAGCTTCTACAAGGTTTCTCCTTCCTGATTATTATTTCCAGTCCTATCAGGAGCCTATAAACCCTCTCTCCGGGATTAGTGAGCTATCTTTGAAGAGCATGTCCTGTTCATCTGCGGAGAAACCAGCCTTCCCAGATTCCCCCTTCCCAGAGGAGCCCCAGAGGCAGAGGTGAGGTGGCTGGTCTCCTGGCAGAAAAGTCAACCGGGACAATGGCTGTGGTTCTGCCAACTTCCTGGGCTAAAAAATAGAACACTCCCTATGTTCAAAATGCTCTTATTTTAATGGTGATACCTTCTTCTGTGTCATGCATTGGAGAACTCTGTTAAAATGAATAGCATCCAAATTTCTATCCATATTTCTCTTTAGTCTTGTTAGTAATTCGCTCAGTAAATTTGAGTAAAGGTCCAGAACCATGCAACAAGTAAAAGGTGAAATGATTTTATAACCTTCTAGTGTGTCCCTGGTAGCTCAGCTGGTAAAGAATCCACCTGCAATGCAGGAGACCCCAGTTCAATTCCTGGGTCAGGAAGATCCCTGGAGAAGGGCAGGGCAACTCACTCCAGTATTCTTGCCTGGAGAATCCTCATGGACAGAGGAGCCTGGTGGGCTATAGTCTGCTGGGTCGCAAAGAGTCGGAAATAACTGAGCTACCAAGCAAAGTGCTTCTATACCTTTCCTCACCCTAGCACCAGGCCAGACCAACTGTCCTTCTACCATACGACGCGTTCTATTAGTTCTCCTCTGTCCAGACCTTCATTTTGATGGGAACTTAACTCACTCTTCCTAAGGGAATTTTTAACTTATTTTTGTCATTTATTTTTATGGAACACACTTGGGCCAGACCATGTCTGAGTTTTGTTTTCCAACTGTGTACTTCTTTAATATCTGAGGATCTGTGGCCTTGGTTTCTCCATTTGCTTTCATAGCTGTGAAAATAGTCACTCTTCTGTTTCAGAGGCATTTTCAGTGGTGATAGTCCTACTCCAAGACATTGATAATCACTCTGACACCTCCTGTGCACCACAGCATGGAAGCGTGGGCTTCATTATGACCCACAGGGACATACTCTGCCCACGACAGTGCAGAGCAGGTATGATTTCCAAGGAATGCAAATGCCGATCAGCACTCTGACTTGAATAACAGACAAGTCAAGGCATGAGAAATATGACAAAAGATAAATGCAGGCTGGGGGGCTGGGGAGAAGTTCAGCAGAGGAGAACAAGATGATGTCAGAGAGGGACTTAGGAAAGAAAGGAAAATGGGTTGGGATCAGGGGAGCAAAAAAAGAAAACGAAGTATCTTTGACCCATTAGTAAAGAATACTGACTAGATAACAACAGGTGGATCTGCCAAACCCAGAAGCAGGAGTCAGAGGATAGAAGTGCTCGTAGGGTCGTTAACATGGTCCTTGCTCTAGGCCAGTCTGCAGTAGGACCGGCCCCTCTCGTGGCCTGAACAACAGCACACTAAGATGAGGACATGGCCTGAAGAAACGAAGACCTGGGGAAACTGAAGCTGAGAGAGGCTCTGGGTGTAAGAGATGGCCGAAGAATTGTCCTTACATTTTGAATAGGAATGTTCTGTGGTGTTGCGGGGTCGGGGGGTGGGGGAGAAGAAAAAATTCAAAACATTTTGTGCTTATCACTGAAATGCTTTGTTTAAATAATTCTATTTGACTCCAAAATGTAAGTTCCAGGTTAGAAAGATCAAAAGCAGCCAGTCTTGAAAATGAAGCTTTTTAAATTCCAGCGCTGCTGTTGGAATAGAGAATAAAAGGCTTTGTTCAAACATGCATTCCCAGCAGTGAGCAGAGCTTTGAAATTGGTCAGGGAAGTTGTGTTCCATTAATGGCTGCGCTTGCCTGGAGACGAAGGAGCTGTGTTCTCTGGGAAATGACTCTGGGCTGGATATTTTCCATCTGCCCCTTCAGAACCACTCTGCCCTCCCCACCCAAAAGAGGTGATCTTACAGGATTGCATTAATAGGTTCTCTCAGCATCTGGGTTCATTGGGATTCTGTCAGTGGGGGACACCAGCAGGCACCCAGGGTGGGAGAGCAACCCTGACTCCCCTGGTGCCGGCCTGCTGGGAAGTCTCTGCGTTCTCCTGCTATAGACCTCAGCTCCTGCCAACAGCACCCCCTTACAGCTGTGTCCCCACCCCTTCAAGCCAAGACCAGGGCTACTGTCCTTGGGTCTGTGTCTTCTTTTATGGGTTTCCCTAAATTCAGTACCTTTGCAAGTAGTCTCTTTGTTAGAGTCTCAACTACCGCATTGGAGTGTGTACCATCTCCCTCCTCCTGGGACCCAAGGTGATCCAGACCCTTGTCAGTTCTGCATGGTTGTGACCTGGGGCAGTTTTGTCTGTGGTTGCCAATGCATTCTTCCTGAAACTGATGCCCTTGGCTGGTCACTGGGGCTTGAGGGGGGTGGCGGCAGGAGAGAGGATCCTGGCGTTGGAACCTGGACCCGGTGAGATAAATCTAGCATTGCCCAGCTGGATCTGAGATTGTGTGGACCCAGAAGGTCCCACACCATGGCCTCTTGGAGTCAACAAGAAAAAAATGCTTGACTTGTAACAGTCAAGAGGACCCATGGCCTGGGATGGGAGCCACCCTTGCCATCTCCTGACTATGAACTCAGGGCTCAGCAGAATCTTTAAGCACAGAAAGCCTAAAAGACAAGAGGCTGTTTGTTTCATCTCTGCAAGCACTAAAATCACTTTACAAAGCATTTTAAAGTAAAATTTTCACTCTTTAGAGGTCTCACATAGTTCAATTTTACTTTTCAGGATCTGGTATTTTCTGAGTGAGCAGGCTTAGGACTGATGGTGATTTCTGCTCTGTACATGATTATCACTTAATTCTCATTGGTGAGCCAATTTTCTTTGCTTTTGTTCTTCAAAGGAAGGCCATATTCAGTGTCTGGCTTGCTTTTTTGGTGGCTGCCTCCCTCAGTTGCTGGTATAATGAGCTCTTCCTGTTCTCTCTCTCTGTTCCCTAAATTATCCAGAGCAGCCCTCAACTGGAGCTGCGGGGATTCCCACCACTGCCCCGGTGGCCTCACTTCAAGCAGCAACACACGAGGGACAGTGGAACATTGAGAAGATGAATAGGGCCATTGCGGTGTCACCACTAGCCTTCCCCTCTTAGTTGCTCGGTTCCACCCCAGACATCCTCAAGGGATGCAGTGAACTCAGGGTAAAGACCTCAGAGGACCTTCT